GCACATAACAACAACAACATCTTACATCCAAACAATGTTTTATGGTTTTCAAACTATCTTCACAATGTATTGTCTCACTGCACTGCTGCAGCAACCTCCTGAGCTAGGTATTCCCAGGATTAACAGTAACTCCATAAATTCAACAACAACTTTTTAAAAGTGGGAGAGACCTTAAGCAAATGCATTAGTAGTAAAATACACACCCAGACTATTTTAAAATACGTTTCTGTTAGCCTCTGCGGAGTTGGCCCCGACCACCAGTGACCCACGTACAACAGGTTCGCATCATTGTGCTGCTTCTGGCTCTCACTGACTGTATGAAAGACTGTGAGGGCGAGGCTTCACGTCTAAAGTGCTTCGAGGTGGTCTCAAATCTCCAACCTTTCAGTTAACTGCTGAGCTTGTTAGCAATTTGCAACACTTAGCAAAATCACCAGACTCCATCTCAGAAAAGTTGAAGTATAAAAATATTTCAAATAGTATAACTTTGAATTAAAGCCATGTATAGTATCATTAGCAATACAGACAAGAAAAGGAATTCAAATATAACTTGTTCAAAGAAACATCAAAGACAGGATTCAAATATAAATACATGAAACCCAATATACCCTTCTTATCCCTTAACCTTTCTCTCAAACTCTCTCTCTTTTCAAATAGGAGCCTATTAAGTATGAGACACTTGTGTAAGTCTTTTATATGCATTAATTTGTTGAACTCTCATTATCCTCCAATATCCTCAGTTAATAAATAAGAAAACTGAGGCACAAATTTTGGGGCTTGTCCAAAGTTAATAATGTAGTAATTAGAGAAGCTTGTGCTCTGACAGCAGAACGCAGGTGCCTGGTGCCCACTAGAGATGTGAGGTACTGATGTGAGCAGTAAAAAGGTGCAGGATCTTTCCCTGTTAAGTGTCTTTGAGTTGTCACAGTGACTCAGTGAGCAACAGATCTGAACCTTGTCCTATCCTATACCATCATCACCATCACGTTCATCATGCCCATTTTCACAACCACTGGGTCAATCCACCTAATGGTGGGTCTTCCCCTCTTTCTCTGACTCAGTACAATGTCACCTCCAAGGACTGGTCCCTCCCGACAACATGCCCAAAGTGTGTGAGACGGAATAAAAATCACAGAGAAGAATGCAACCAGCCAGCAATGTGCTCAAGAAGTTTGCTAAAAAGGAGAGTGAGGCAGCATTTGAAAAACAAGGAACTCATGAAATATTATGCAAAATGGGTGACCCTGGAGGACATTCTGCTGAGCGAAATATCTCAGTCACAAAAGGACAAATATTTCATAGGGCCA